TACATATAAATTGGTATCAAGTAAAATGACAATAAAATCATAGAAAGCTATTTCTACAAATACTATATTGGCACTTTTGAATTTATAACTGTCAACTTGAGTACAGTTAGAAAAAAAAAACTAATAGGAATTTTCGATAGAAACATAATAAATGAATAGATTTATTATATCTCGTATTCGATATAAATAAAATAAGAAATGCCTTAAGAAGGATTAAATATTTTTATTATACGCATCATTTGAATAATAAGAAGATATATGCAAAGTTTTGCGCGTACGCTGCCTACGCGCTGCGGTCAATGACCCCGTGTTATGTCACTATTTGCGGTTTAAGGGTGAGTTTCAATAGAAATTATTAAATAAAAATTTATCTATTACTTTGGGAATAGTAATGACTTCATTATCTTATCTTACCAATATTATAAATGCGAAAATTTTGATGGATGGATGCTTGTTAGAAGGTATTTTCGGAACGGCTCAATATATCTCGATGATGGTCATAGTCTGGAAAAACACATAGGCTACAAATTAAATCTAATTTTTAATACCGCGCAGATGAAGTCCCGGGCGACAGCTAGTATATCACAAAATATTGACTGAAAGAAACATGACTTGTTGAGCCATCCGACGAAAATGTCTTAAGAGATACGACCGAAAAGGTTACATATCTTAAGGTCTCAAAAGAAATATAACTCTTTTCATTGGATAGGTATAGTGGAGTTTAGATTTATCCGAAACAAGACAACAGCGTAAATCTTCCAACATGAATACAGTAATTGAATGTTTAGTAACAAATCGTGGTCACTGGATTGTCTTGTTGGCAAAGTTTGCGAAGATTTGCATACGTTGCGTAAGAACAACGGTCGATGACCACAGTTGTAGTATTGACAACGACATCTAGCGGTAATAGAGAGAGAATTGATTTTATTAACACGTTCAATACTGTAGAGTTTTAATACAAAATAAATATATCGTAATAGCAGAGGATGTGATTAATATTATTTGAATTACTAAAAACAATAAATAAACGTTAGTTTTTACTATATATGTCTCTTTTTCTCACTAAAAAAACAAACTTTTTTTTCATTGGGAAAATCGTCAGTGAAATTAATTTTGTTGAAAATGTTATCTATAATTTTGTCATTTAACAGTAAAATTATAATATAAACTTGTTATAACCTGTTAATATTTAAGTTACCACTAACCATGGGTTTCTGAGAGTTTCTGGTTTGTCAAAAATAATGACAGGAATGAAAATGTTTTGAGATTTTAGTCTCAGAAACCAACCAATAACCAGTAAACACATTCCAACGATAATTTTGATTAATGTATCAACAATTGTGATCAAGAATTCAAATTAGGGAAACAAGTAAGGTAGCTCAAAACTATTCAGACAACTATTTAGGACATTGCCTAAACCTATTCTCTACTAACAACTTTGAAAGACCCGAGTTCATCCGATATACGATATGTTTTTTACCAACTTCAAAAAGGAGAGAATGTTTTTAAATTAAGAATGTTTTTTTTTTAAATCGGTTTTCTTTTTTTCCTAAATATTTTTCGCGAAACAGCGATCTTAAATGGATTAAAATTCATCAGCTGATAATTATAAATGTATCAAGATTTAATATTGATTCTTGTTATTTTGATATTATCGTCAATTCATCATTAAGTGAGTAAATGCAACAACATGAATGTTAAACGTTTATTTCAATCAGGACGCTTTTTTCCAACGTATAAAAACGTATAAAAACAACGTTATCTGGAGCATAAATGTAAACAGTTAGTGCCACATTGTAAAACTGATAAATATCGGTAAATTCCTTACTAGATTTCAACGTACTGAAATGCGAATATTATGGAGCATTTTATTAGCACGAAAAGGTCTAAAGGTAATCTTACTAATATTATAAATGCGATGTTTAGATGGATGTTTGTTAGAAGGTATCTCTAAAACAGCTGCATGTATCTCGCTGAAATTTGGCATAGATGTAGAACATAGTCTGGAAGAACACATAGGCTACTAATTAAGTTTTTTTTTTAATTTTGCGCTGACAGAATCGAAAGCGACAGTATCAATTTAATTTTTGCGTTAACTTATTGAGAAACTTGTTAAATTAGTTTCAGATAAAAATGTGCCTGTCAATGACTTAATTTGTAATACAGATAAAAAAGTACGGAATTATTTTTAATTCTGAGATTCAAAAATATACTGAAACTTTTTCGATTTCGAAGCGATGACGTCACAACATAGTTCCTGTATCATATCCAATGGATCCATAAGTTCTTTTTATAATAATATCTTGATATGTTTTAAAACATTTTCTAGTTTGTACCGAGTCGAACGTGGACTTTTGCTTTCGATAGACAGCGCAGACTGCCGGTGTCAACTGGGTCGTGGCTTTCACAACACTACAGCGTTTTTCTTTTTTGTCGTCCGCTCAAGCCGAGACACTAGTGATGTATGTGCGATGTAATTTATCCGATATCGACGTTTTTGTTCTTTATCGCTAATGTTTTGGTTTGATTTATTAAATAGTTTATATTTAATTAAATTTAGTCTTGAAAATGTATCAAATGAATGGTCAATTTAAAGGCAAATAAGTGTTTAAAGGTACAAGTTGATAAATTAAACATCGTTTCCTACTAAAAAAGTTTAATAATCAAGACAAAAAAAAATTAAAACTAATGTTTGAGCCGATTTTTACAGGGGAGTCCCTAAAACAATCACATTATGACAAAAGTAATTATATTAAAAAGATTTATTAAAAAAAAAGAAAATTCTCCAGATCAATCAAAGCCTACAATCGCAAAAAGTACCCATATGTCAAAACAAAATCGAATATTTGTTAATATTCGATTGAAATCATAAGAAACAGAAGTCGATTTAAAGTCGATTATATTAGAAGTGCGTGCATAAAGGCGAGAAACAAGGCCGTCTAGCCTCATTGGTTACAAGCGCTTAATCAATTACAAAAGATTTTGCATGTTACGTGTTAAGTGTTTCCATTGTCAAACGACAACCGTGAAGTGTTAGACATTTATTCAAATAACTAGTCATTCGAATAAATGAATACAAAACAATTGAATCGCGAAATCACGTTTGAAACCTAAAGGTGTCCCCTAAGTATACGTTTTTAAGCCTTTATTGTTATCTTGGATTATTGAACATCAAATTTGGTCATGTCTACATCATCGTAGCTCTTAAATAAGGAATGCGAAAAATATATTTTTGAAACTATATTGGAATCTTATCTTACTTCCTTGTTTCTTACTAATATTATTTATGCGAATGTTTAGATTGATGTATGGATGGATGTTTGAATGTATCTCCAGTACGGTTCAACGGATCTTCATAAAATTGGCACAGATGTAGAACATAGTCTGGAAGAACACATAGACTACTAAGTTTTTAATTCAGACAGAGTCGCAGGCAATAGCTTGTTTGTATTAATTACGAAAACAGAATATACGCCCAAACTATATAAACAAAAAACTTATACGCAATAGAAAAAAAAACTATTTGCCTAATACACCCTAATATCTAATCTTTAAATAGCCGCTGACTTATAGGCGGGACAACAAAGGATTCATTACATTTTCATTCCCCAAATGTTATCTGTTGCACGAAATGTGACCCACCCATGTAGATAAGCAAAAATCCTTGGAGCTTACGTTACGTATCATATACGGTCAAACAAACTTTTGTTAGTTTTTTTTATCATAAGGTGGCAAACAAGCGAGCTGCCACCTGAAATCGATGGAATAATAAAGCGACCGTTGCCCTTACAAATTGTAATTGCAGATGCGTTGACTACCTTTAATCGACAGGGATGTACATAAAGATAATATTTTCCCTTCCCATGCATCCTCTCATCACGAAAATCTACTTTCACTTCCCATCCTTTACTTAAAAGGAAGAGAGTGGAAGGAGGACTAATATTTGGCTTCCGGGACGCACACTCATCAGACTGTACGCGGAATTGCTTTCAGTTCACTTCTGTCTTCTGTGTGGTATTGCACTGGGCGAATCGGCAAATTCGTGCGAAGATGTTAAAGCAGACTCTACCACAGTTAAAAGTGCTTTCGCTCCGAAATGATTCAATAACGAACTTCAAAAATGTATAGGACTGACAATAGTTTTCGATAAGTCCGTGATTTTTCCATACATTTTTGAAATTCGTTATGGAATCGCTTCGCAGCGAATACACCTTGTCTAGCCCTCTGTTTCGTTAGAGGAAATTGATTGTTTACTCATTTTCATACTAATTAGGTATGTGTTCAGGTTAATTGAATCGGATCTTTGGTAATTAATAAAGTTAAGTATTGAAAGGAAGTAGTTAATGGGTTGTATGTATTATGGTAACATAGTTTGGCGAGTAAGAAAGCTGTTGTGTTAGAAAGGGCATATGCGATAAGAGGACGTATAGCCTAGCTACTAATTTTCACGTGACAAGTTAGTTTACCATCTTACTAATATTATAAATACGAATGTTTGATTGGATGGATGAATGAAGGTGAAGGATGTTTGAAGGTAACTACGCAACGGTTGCATGGATCTCGCTGTAATTTGGAATAGATGTAGAACATCTGGAAGGACACATAGGTTACTAATTAATTTTTAAGCGTCGCGGGGAGCAGCTAGTCTGACTATAAAGTAAATAATTGTCAAGAATATTAGATGAATTTTTGTAATATTTTTTTTTATTTTGCCAGTTAATGGCCACCATTTTAGAAATGCTGCGTTACGCAATATTATTAACGTACGGAAGTATCTAGAAATCATTTCCAAGTCGACTCCAAAGTAACTTTGGGTGCGGCAGGAAATTCGTTTTCCTTCGATTCCATACTGTCCGTTCACCCTAGATTTTTATTAATAGCTTTACTTTTCTGTATAAAATGTACATTTTGAGGCAAATTTGATATTTAAACGATGAGCGATGAGGTTAAGGCAGCTATTTATCTGTGAGAAAATGTATTGATTTTTTTTCTCTTTCCAGGGAAACATCTTGTACTATCCACGGACCCGGAGTCCGTGAAGGATGAGTTTGCTTTCGACAACCCCGGCTTCAGGCAGGAAGAGCGGCAAGCTTGGAGGCACGAGGCACCGACCCTGCCTCTGGGAGGCAAGACAAGCGCCCTGCAGGCTGAGTTCACCAAACCCGAGCATAGCAAGGATGATTTATACCTACAGGTGAGTTTGTCTTTTTTAAGATCTATGATGATATCATTCAATCGTAAATAGTCAGTTTAAACCTTACTAGACGATGGTAGATTGAATCAGTAACTATTTGGTGTGCATTGTCATTTTGTAAACTGTCGAAGTGTAATCAAATCTTACTAATATTATAAATGCGAAAGTTTAGATTGATGGATGTTTGCTTAAAGGTATCTTTGAAATGGCTGAACAGACATCGTTGAAATTTGGCATAGATGTAGAACATAGTTTGAAAGAACACATAGGCTACTTACTAAATCTTTTTTTTATTTCGCTCGTACGGAGACGCGGGCGATAGCTCGTTACCTATAAAATAATCATTCCGGATATTAAATGAAAAGTTATATATCGATGGTCGTTTTAATCGAATATTATATAATTCACATGAAGTAAGGCGCGTATTGCGCAAGCGTCACGTAACGAGAGATGAACATTTGCTCATTGATTATTGAATGGACAGACATATTATTTTTTATATGAAATTCTACTTGATGTCCATGTTTTTGTAACAAGTTAATACAAAGCGATTGATTAATATTACTCATGAAAATCAATGGACTTTTAAAACAATCCTTGAACGTTATCTGGGACTTTATAGGACTTTGTTTTTTGTTAAAATAACCTAAAAAAAATCCACAGTTCTTATATTTGTTTTAAGTTATATTGTTGTCTCTGATTGTTCAAAGAGTATGAGAAGGATGGTCTTTGACAAACTTTCTATTTAAATAGTAAAAGGCTACAAACGAGCATGTCACTCCATTGGTCAAAACAGCGTTTAGACCGTTTGCCACAAACATCTACATTTGCAGATGTGTTGCCTACCTTTAATTGACTGGGGACACAATGAAAGAAGATATTTCACCTTCCAAATACATCTTCCCTTCTCATCCCTTCCTTGTTAGAAGAGGATGGGAAGGAGGAAAGGAGTAACATGAGGCCTCCGGACTTTCACTTCACGCGTCTCTTCCGTGTGGCCGTGGTATTGCACCGGGTGACCAGGACATTCGTCTAAAAGATGTTATTGCGGGCACTAACACTGTT